CCGTGATTCTGTCCAAATTCCCTATAAAATCTTAAATGATTCCCTTTGAGCTAAATTTACCTGTTTCCCTTACACGAAGCATGTACTCAGAAGAGTATTGGCCCACGAGAAGGACCCACAGGTCCTGAGGTTGCAGCGTTATACTGGGGACCTAATGCTGTGAGACTTCCTCAGAAGCCCAGAACCAGAACCGATGAGTGAAACCATCACTGTAATCGGTCAACAGCAGGAGGTCCTGACTTAGCAGGTGGGTCAAACCTAAAGTCAGAAAAACAGAACAGGTCAGAGTAGCGCTGTAGATAAAGGCTAGCATCAAACACACAAGAACTAGCAGTAGAGTAGATAAAAATGGATCGTACTCACCAACCATGGCTCCCGCGCATGACTCAGGCTCATGATATAGGCTGGAGGCGAAGTCCGAAGCCTGGATCCTCGTGGAATGAAGGATTTAAAGGCAGCTGAGCACGTCTTGGCCTCCTTAAACCTCACGACCACCGTCTCGACGTAAGTGCCGAAAAGCTCAGAAGGGGAACCCGGCGCATCAAGAAGAAAGCCCTTCTCTTTCGACCCGATATCCACCAGACTCACCCACAGATGTCTCTCCGTAACCACCATGGCTGCCATTTTTTTTGGATCTGCCAATGGCAGTGGCTGCCTGCTTAGCGGCACGGAGAGCAAGATCCGTGGTGTGACGCAACTCAGCCACCTCATCAGGGGATAGACCCTGCCTTTATCCAGGTCTTTCAGCAGATCAGCCTGAAAAGCCTGAAGCACCACCATGGTGTGCAAGGAGACTGCAACCTGACCTGCTACCGCGTATGCCCTATTCAAACAAGATGTATTTTCCTGAAGGGGTTTGGATGGCAGGGAGGGAGCCTTAAGAGAAGATGTCTCCCCATGGAGAGATAGCAGGCCAGCGTCTCTTCAACAGGTGGCATCTTCTCATAACCATTCTCATGCATCCCTTCGTCATTACCACGCAGGGTAATGACGTGTATAGGCTATCGCCGGTAATTTTATTGTCGTTTTTAGATATAGGCTTCAGACACCGGTCACACTAAAGGTGTTCCCCCATAGCGACCCCTAGAGAATGCAGTTCGAAGTTCCCTTGAAAGGGAACTGTTGATTCACATCAGAATCCACAATGGAGAGAGTCCTTTCTCATGTTTCCAGTGTGGAAAGGGTTTCACGCAGAAAGGAAGCCTTAAGAGACACCAGAGAATCCACAGCGGAGAGAAACCCTTCTTCTGCCTTCAGTGTGGGAAGATTTTCACGTGCAAAGAAAGCCTGAGCGTGCACAGGAGGATTCACACCACACGCATGAGACCGCATACTGGAGAGAAACCTTATCTCTGCGCTTCATGTCGGAGGAGTTTTACTCATTCAAGTGGCCTAAAGACTCATAGAATAAAACATTGTTCGGAGGTGTCGCAGTGAGCAAAATGCATGTAATTAGAACATTTCTTCCAAAATGGCAGTCGCATCTAAATGGATAATTTGTTAAATTTAATTACCTGTTGTGATTAACAGCTGTCAGTTTATGCAAGAGGTAGTAGAAAAAATACAGATTGTCTATTGATTATATATCCTGATATTTGTCAACTCTGAAGTGGCTCAAATGAGACAAATTATTTTGGCTAATCAACCATTTTAGCAGAATAGAGTCAGAATGTTTAATGCGCAAACTACAACATTATAGTTAAAAATGGAGCCCAACTAAATTAACCTTTCATTAAGCCCTGTTTGTTCTTGTCTATGAATATCCTGTGTTTGGATCATTTTTACATATAATTTACAGAAATAAAGTAAACTTTTGTTGTCCCATGACCTGCAGGGTTTGTGCTGTCATGACAAAACAAAATTTACTAAAATATCAGTTTTATTATTGTGATTTCGAAGCCTGGAAAAGTTATAGAACCTGTTCACAAAATGATCCAAATGATTATGAATCAAAAAGGTTTAAAAATATCCAGTAAGCACAGATGACTAGACAGGTCATGCAAAAGTTAATTTCTTTAAAAATAGAGGGAAAGCTTACAATAGGGACACAATTAGTTTTTTTCCCCAAACCATTAAATAAATCTTGAGAAGTTCATGCTGTGGTTTCTGTTAATCATAATTGATTTGTTTTACATATTGAATCTGGTTATTGTAGAGGCAACCGAAACAAAGAGTTCATAGTACCACAGTAAATTCATTGTAGAAACATTAGCTACTACACCATTATGAAAGCAATAAAATGTATCGGCGCAAAAATTGCTTCATGAATTGAGTAAAGATATAGAGGGAATTTCCGCAAATAATGTTGTCATTAGCTCAATGAATATGACTAAATTACCATTTTCAGAACAAAAAAAAACTACTATTAATAGGTTAGCAGAACATGTGTTTTCGTAATTTTGGAGCTTGTGATTTTGTGGAGCTCAACTCTTGATCACAAACAACTCCAGACTTGAACATTTGACTGGTTCCAAATAACAAACATGCATCTTGTGTGAAAACGAATTTCTCTCGTGTTTGAATTACATGGCTGTTCTATCCATGTGTTCTATCAATGATCACTCATTTGTGTGGCTTCTGAGACTCTCAAACTCCCATATGCTGATATACTTCCATTCGGGAGCAGTAACATTTACATAACCAAACACATTTGCAGTTATCCAAGGTGTGTACTGTCTTCTAAAGTACACCATAGGGGTAAAGTATGTAAAAACCCCCTGAAGAGGGGAATAATAGTAAGCAGTTATAGTAGCAAAAGGAGGCATTAATGTTTTTTAAATCAAATGTTCAACAATACACAATTTGGATAATAATTTGGATATTATTATATTCATTTATTATATAAAAAGCATTCCAATGCCTTGATCTTGTTGTAATCATGCCTTTTCAGCAGGCACCACCATCAAAAGCACTGTATGACTCTATTCAGTCAGTAGGTTTAATTTGCATGAAAATGTGCCAGGCACTTTGATAAGATACCTGCATGCTAAATGCATTTTCAAGGGAAAGCTTTTTTTTTTTTTTTTTAGTTCTAAAGGACTAAATGACACTAATGTTGGTATTTAAGAAATCAGCTTATGAAATAATTACTTAAAATAAAAGGTCATACATCTATTCCGCAACAGTGTACTCGAGTCTGGATAAGAGTCGGACTCAAATCTGAATCCAAGACCATATTTGCTCGGACTAGTTGAGACCAGCTAAGGGTCCCGATGGTCTTAAAAAGACAGACTTGAGACGAGTCTCGGACTCTCAAGAGCATATTTTTTAAGTGAAGTAAAAAAAAAAAAAAAAACCATTCAAGGAGTTCAAGGTAAGATATAGGCTAGCTAAACATTTTATATATAATCTAGTGACAAACTATTTGACTTTTTGTCAATTGAAACTTTCAAAACAATACAATACTTTTATATTAGAAACAGATCCAGTCAGATTTTCTGCTATTGGATTGAAAATATAGAGAAAAATAGCTTTTCACAAAAATCACAACTTTATTGCACCAGTATATCTACATTTATGTATTTGCAATACTGAATGACTTCTTGTTTTCAGAAAAGGCATTAGGTGCAGAACTATCAATTCAAATATGACAAAGACACTCGTGTGTTCTTTAGCTTTCAGTCTCTGAAAACAACCTATCTCAAATGAATTTCTAAGAGAATACAGACACATCCTACAGAGCGCATAGTGTCTGGGTCCTGAACAAGACCTCAGAGCAGTCTTCCAGACACGCATCTATTGGTTAATAAAATTTCCCATTTACAATTCCACAAACCTTAAATACATTAGGCTTCCATTTAGCAATGTGCATTTTAACATGTTTTAATAAGTATAATTTGCAACATGTTCTATTCATTTTTTTAAATTAAACCAAGGCAACTTTTCTAAAACCCAAGGATTCATGAAAGGATGGTCTGTAACAACAAGAATGACTGGAGGAGGGCACAGAGAGCACAAGGTAGACTGTACAATGTCCTAAATAGGAAGGCTTCAACATTGGTTTACTCCTATGACGGCTCTTGAGTGGATAAGTATGTACATCATTCTGACCCAATGTATAATAGCACTGCTAACGGACAGGGTGTTTACAGCTCACACAGATGACATTTGGACCAGCTTTTGTTGAGTTTTACCCTGGACTGACCCCTTCGCAGGGCATCCGAGGGATTGCTGTAGTTGCATAGAGTAGGAAAGAGATACAGGATGAGACACGCTAAATCAAAGACAAAGGGATACTCCAATTATTAAATAATTCAGCCGTCCTGGCAGAAACACAGTGGTTTGTGTTAAGGCCCATGTTTTAGCTCACATGGATGAAATGTATTGCATTGTTGTATGCAGCCCTGTGCATAAAAGACCACGTCGTCTGACTGGAAATGGTGGCGTTTTGGGAAATCCAAGGAGAAATCTTATAGAAACTGTGGAAATTGTCACAAGAGGCTCATTTCCCTTTAAAATATGGCAAAATCAAACACTGCAAAGGGGAGTTGGAGGAGGAGGATGGGCTAGTATTCAAGCAGGCAAGACATGAAAGTATACAATCACAAGCAAGAAATGTATTGCAATGCAAGACAGCAGGGCAACACTACTTCCTCCAACAGATGATCCATTCAGGCAAATAACTGCCTAATAATATCTGGACCAAATATGAAAAAGCAAAATAATTTAGCGAACAAAACTTCCATAAAGGGAACAATGATATTTGTTGAGTCATTGGAGGGAGGGGCTACATGTTCCCGTTTTTAGAAAGTGTGAGGGTTTTCTTCTCAATAAAAGACAATAGTTTTCATCACCGGCCATCACAGCCTGAATGCTCGCCATCTTGTGTAGTCCTGCCTAAATAAAACCGGCCCTGGTAAACATTTGTTCGTATTACAATAAGAATAATTCCGATCATTAAAGGTTAACAGTGTGCAAACTCTCCGGTTTGTCTTCCTTCCTATGATCCAAAGATCATATTGGCACCGTTAGTGGTGTGTGTTTTGGATTTCAGACGGTGACTAAAGCCTCAGGAGATGACCTCAGCCTCATGGCTTGATTTCACAGTACTGCTGCGCTCTTGTGTTCTTCAGAAGAACCTCAGACAGATCCGACTGCTGCTGATCCAATAAGGCAACTGGTCTGGTCAGGGCACACGACTGGGATCAAGCAAGACAGTAAAACAGCTGGTTATAAACATTATCCAAGTTTGAATATATTTATAAAAAAAATAAAAAAAAGCTTTCAAGCTGATGGATACGGTTCTTCACAAAACAGAATTCTAAAGGAAAAAGATACTTCATGTTCACTTATTTTTAGTAACTTTCACATTCGAACAGCAGCATGTGAACGGAATATTAAAATGCAAACATTGCTACTGTATCACAAACTATTTAATAACTGCGATAGGACATTTGCTCAAGAGTCATTTAATAAAGACGTTTTAATTATAAACCACCTTAACTAGGGGTGGAACGGTTCAACTTACTCATGGTTCGGTTTGTATCACGGTTTTAGAGTCACGTTTCGGTACGGTTCGGTATGTGCTATGTTTAGGCAAAAACTATACTGTCAAATAAAAATCAAGAAAAGAAGAAGAATCTATCGAACTACAAGCAACAGCACAAATAAATACAACAGAGTAACGGAGACGGGCATTTTGACAATTTTTGTGTGAATTTGTCCATTCAAACACAATACTTCAGAGAGAGCTTAATATTTGCGCGCGTTCTAAGGCACGGGTTTGCCCGATTCGGACGCACAAATCTTCTCACTGCGCGCACGAGCTCAAGTCCTCTGGCTCTTAAATGTTTAAAGCTTAAATGAGTTTAGCTTAAACACAGATATCAATGTGTGCTGTTCAGGTCTCACCTGTGCGTGCGCGCTATCAGCACCTGGTTGATGTGTTCCACCCCTAATCTTAACCTACACATTATTTTACTGATGGAGGCTTTATTTTGGAGCACAAACCTTTTCTTGCTAAAACTAGTGTGATGACATAAAATTGATGTAGAAGACTTGACCTGTGGTTTTAGCGTCACCAAAAGGACATTGCTTTATGTGATTTGCCACTTTCAGTAAATTCAGTAAAAACTACTGAAGAAAAAAAAAAAAGCTTTGCGTCATGCCTAACAATGCCCCTTAGCTGTTATAAATTAACTGTAAACCACGGCTTCACGGGGCTTATTGCTTTTATAAAACGGTTATTCCATATACGTAGTAAGGTTTCACAAAATAAAACAGAGCAAATAATGTGTAATGATATAAATAAAAACAGTATTCTTCCACTAAACAATGTAGTTCCTCAGAAACAGTTGTGGTCGCAACAAAGTGGTTGCCAAGTAACAGACAAACGTAAACAAAGGTGTATGTTTGTAGAGTAATTTACAACAGCTTTGAACGCGGCTCAACCAATCAGAATCAAGGACCGGAACTATCCGTTTTATAATGTAAAACTTTAAAATGTTTCTAATTCTTCAACGTATAATAGAAAGAATGGATAATTGTTTAGTACTTTTTGTAGCTGGCAAAGGAAAAGTATTTAATAGGGCCTTTCGCACCGCTTTAGTTCCAGAACTAAATGTACAGTACTAAAGTACTGGGACGATTTTGCGCGAACTATTTCCCAGTACCGTTTTCATATGCGTTTGGCCAATCAATGTCTACTTGCGTCGCGATTAGTACCAGTTGTGCTGGTTAGACCCTGCTCCGGAGTAGGAGCTAATTTGGTTCTCGAAAAAAGCAGTCCGGTACTAAAATCACACCCAGTTCCGGCGGTGCGAAAACGCCAAAAAGTGGGTAGTTCCACAATTAGTTCTGGTACTATGAAAAGGTTCCCGCGGTGCGAAAGGCCCTATTGCTAGAAATGAGTAGAAAGAAAAAAAAGAAAAAGTGTACCTTTCAATGGCGAAACCCCAGACTGCTCCGTCTGCCTCCCGGTGTGACTGACCACATGTTACGATGCTCTTGGATCTTCTGGAAGACATTTCCATTCCTCCTCTTCTCCTTTTTGTATTTTTTCATTTTCTTTACCTATTCAAGAGGAAAGAGATTAAATGACTTAATATATAGGTCTAACACTAAAATATACACACATATATATATATATATATATTTATTTATTAAGTCAAGAAACAGAGCTTAAAATACTGCTGATATTACTTTATTAGTAAATACAGTATTCCAGACAGTGTGCTGTGCACATACTGCAAAAATAGCACAAGTAGTAAACTATTCCGACTGACTAGTACCAGTCCACATGAATAACCTAGAGTAAGCAATGCATAAAAGTAAATGACAGTCCTCACTTTTCCACTGTCAAACTCCCTGTCCCACTCATCAATGACGGTCTCGTTTTGGGCATAGCGTGCATCCTCTGCAGCATCTCTGCTAATGGCCGACCGATCTCCTTCCCAACTGAGGACTGTTGAATGAAATCATTCAAGACGCGGTCAATATTTCAGAATTCAAGCATAGGTGTGGTTGAGAACTTTAAGAGCTTTTGAAGTCATATGATTAATCTTTATTCACTTTTCCTGTGCTTCATATAAAAGTAAATATAAAATTTAAAATGTAAGAATTCAACTACCAATTGTTTTCTGTTTTTCCATCATTCATTTTTCCCCAGTATAGTTCTGAACACAAAAACAGGCCATTTAAAATGAATCACAACAGAAACAGAAATTGTCCGTTTTCATTTGAAATGCCTAACAAATAAGTTTAAGAACTACTTGTAACAGTTTTCCAATTCTCAGGGAAACCGAGAGGTCTCGCGCACAAGGTTTAGTTGACATATGACTGAAAACTCACCCTCAGTTCCATAAGCTTTATTTGAGGAGTTCTTGAGGAGCTCCTCGACTACATCACAGCTTTTCTTGCCATCCCAGCCCATAGGAGCAGAGCATGGGCCTTTTCTCGACGTGCCCTCTGCTTCTCGATGGTTCTGGTCGCGCTTGTAGCCGTCTTGAACCTGGCTGTCCCAAACGATCACGGCAGCTGTAACAGAAAACGGCAGAAGTTTAACTCTTCTGTTTTAAGTTTAACAATAGTTATGGATGATGCCCTTTAAGCAAATGCACCTCCCCAATATTCTTTAAAATACTAAACCAGTGGTCTCAAACTCAATTCTTGGAGGGCCACAGCTCAAATCACACCTGCTTGGAAGTTTCTAGCAATCCTGAAGACTTTGATTAGCTGGATCAGGTGTGTTTGATTAGGGTTGGAGCAAAACTGTGCAGAGCTGTGGCCTTACAGGAATTTAGTTTGAGATTAATGTACTAAACAAAGAAAAAAAAGCATGTCTATGAAGTCTACAACAGAATATATAATAACATCTGTGCTGGGATTACCAGATTTCTGCTTGCCCGCATTGCCTATCTGACTAGGAGTCTCCACTCCATTGGTCTCTTGAAGCTCCACATGAAGTTTTTCTTTATCCCTCGGTCTCTCCTCCTCTTCTCTGAAATCTTTTTGTTTCCTCTTTTTCTTTTTCTTATTGGTCTCTCCTAGGTATTCTGTGTTTGCACCACTAACCTCTTTTACAACAGCGCTGAAAGACAAGAATAAGGCAGTTTTGACAGGTAAAGTGAATGAAGTTGTACCATAACATTACGCATTTTAAGATTTTTAAATATTGGTGTTGACTTTACGCATCAAAATTGAAATATACTACTAATCATGGAACCGGCTTTACTGACGAGATGCGCATGACAATCGCATGCAATTAATTGCACAGCCCTAATCTACATTGAGCTTTTCTAATTTGCGTTGGTGGGGAAAGAAAGATTTGGAAAATAAATGGTGGTAAGTTGCCACAGACAATAGTGAAATGTACAACCATTATACAAAAGACTTGACCTCAATGTTGTGACTGGCCAATCAGAATTAAGTATTCCAGAGAGTAGTGACCAATTGACCTAACGTCCAAAGAGAAAGGAAAAAATGAAATTTCATCATATGACCCCTTTAACACCAACTTATCTCACTAACTATTAACTACAACTATTCGCACTATTAACAAAACTCCTAATTTGCTGCTTATGAATAGTTAGTAAAGTAGTTGTTAAGTTTAGGTATGGGGTAGAGTAAGGGTATCTAAAATATTGTCATGCAGAATAAGTCATTAATATGTGCTTTGTAGGTACTAATAAACAGTCAGTATACTAGTAATATCCATTCTAATAAGCAATAGTGAGAATCGGACCCTAAACTAAAGCGTTACCATTATTTTTTCCGTTATTTGTATAAAAAAAACACACAAAAAAAACACAAGATTAAAGTCAGCATGACATTAAAATTCTAACTATTTTGATCTTATTGTGAAAAATTGATCCATGCACGTTTAATGTTTTTTTTTTACCTCAATTTATCAAAACGTCATAATACTTTGATAATCTGTTACATTCTGATGTACATCACAATATGGAAGAAAAGATCTGTCGCTACTTCTACTGCATTATGACTTTAAGATGAAAGTCTGAAAAACTCCCACTAACTTGCATTAAAGTCAGCATGAAATGGAAATTGTAACCTACTTTTTTTTCCTAGTGTGATGTAGGGAAGCACGATATATCGGCCACCATATCGGTATCGGCCGATAAATATGAATTTTAATGTTATCATTATCGAACCGATAAGAAAATGTTGCCGATATACTTAAGCCGATAAATAATGTATTATTTCCTGCAGATACACTTCAGATGCGCACTGTTCGCCATGATGGTATTTATTTGCTTGAAATATTATTGGAATCACTTCGAAAAGTTAAATACAGTGAAGTGCAACATGTGCAGGGCAAGTCTGTCATAATATAATGAGAACATTACTTTTAAATAATGTTATGGAATCTTTGTGTGCCCGTGTTTAAGCGCATTGTTACGGGAAGAGCGCATTCACAATGGCGCTGCACCTTCATGACCAGCACAGTTAAGTTCGTTTGTGCATTTGCAGCCTTTTGTGCAATTGTACATTGTAATATTGTGTTTATTTTATGCATATTGGTCTGATTTATCACATATAGAATGCATTTGGTTAAGCTAGAACGCTTCAGTTTACCGGTGATCATCTTAGCTCAGCGCACGCAGCTCAATCAGCAGCACACAACATTAATAACTAGGACTATCATATATATAACATTATAATGAGAACACTATTATAATAAAATGTTGTGAATTCTTTGGTTTAATTTGTCGTGTTTCAGCGCGTTGTTGAGGGAAGAGCGCATCCACAACAGAAGTTACACATTAGCACGTAACTTAATTTGAGTTCACTTGTGCATTTGCGTCTTTTTGTACATATATAAGTTGTAAAATTTTGTTTATGTTGTATAAATATCTGATTAATCTAATATATGATGCGTTTCCTTGAGTTAAATAAGCTGCCAGCAAAGCACTTCAGTTCACCGGTGTTCATTCAGCTCTTCAGCTTCAGCGCACACAGCGTGAACAGCAGTGCACAACATTAATAACTAGTATAACTGGGAATGTCATATGCATAACATTATAAAGAGAATATTACCGCAATAAAAGTTGTGAATTATTTGGGTTTATTTGCCTTGTTTCAGCGAGTTGTTACGGGAAGAAGAGCGCATCGAGTTACACAACTGACAAGCACGTAACTTGGTTCAAGATCACTTGTGCATTTGCGTCTTTTTATGCATATATAAGTTATAATATTATGTTTATGTTGTATAAATATCTGATTCTCATACAGCATAATTAACCCACTAACAAAGCGCTTCAGTTTACCGGTGTTCATTCAGCTCTTCAGCAACAGCGCACGCAGCTTAAACAGAAATGCTGCTATTTGAAACAATGGTATTATTTAAGATACTTCTTTTTCAAAATCATTGATATTTTATTAATATTAACTACCACTTTTTTTTTTATTATTATTATTATTTTCATCAACAATATGGTTTAATAAAAAATGTCATTATTGTCGGTGCAGAGTCTATTCGGTTTAATTTATCCATGGCACATGATTTTTGATTTATTTACACGCAAGTAATGTTATCTAGGGACTTGTTTGCATTATTTTATTTATTTGTAAGGCTGCTTTATGTTTGATTTATGTTGAAGTGTTTAATGGCTTTTAATGGCGAGACGTTTTTTGTAATCAGGCTCTCAAATTATATAAAAATGTGGATTTATCTGCCAACATATCGATTATCGGCTTTCATATATATATAGAATTATCTGTATCAGTCAAACTTTTCATATCGGTGCATCCCTAGTGTGATGTATAGCTGAGTGAAATTTTTGGGTGATCTATCCCTTTAATCTTTTTGATTAAGATTATAGTGATGTGCATGAATAAACTCAATCCTAACTGAAATGGACATTCCTGATATAAAGCATTCAGAAGACTCAATTCATGACTGCTTTCAACATGCAATACAGCAATTAGGGATGCACTGATACCACTTTTTTCAGAACGAGTCCGATACTTTCATTTTTGGTACTCGCCGATACCGATATTTTCACAGCATTTGTATTTTTTTTTTTAAATATTGGGTACAGAAATATTTAACAAACAGATATTACCTTCAGTTATTTCCACACTTAATTATACCTGTTAAAATGTATTGTATAAGCTTTTGTTACTTTCACTGTTCATTTTAATGGCGCATTAGAGCTGCTCCATTGCAGCAGCTCAATATTGTAATCACAAAACGTTTTCCTAAAATAATGCAGGGAACCACTCATTATACATTATACGAGTGCACGCGTACTATTTTGGTGATGTCATTTGCGTCACGCATGGTGTACACGGACCCTCGTGTATGAGTAAAAACCGAAGTATACTTTGGCCTTAAAGCAAGCTAAACATACGCAGCGC